GTGTGGCCTTACCAAGGCATTGTAAAATGGTATCAACACTTCACGTGATCTTGATTCTATCCCTCTGTTAATGCAGCCTAGCACTGTGTTGGCTTTTTTGGCAGCTGCAGCACACTGCTGGCTCATATTTAAGTGATTGTCAACTAGGACTCTGTGATCCCTCTCACAGTTACTACTATTGAGCAAAGTACCACCTATATTATACCTGTGCATTTGGTTTTTCTTGTCTAAATGTAGAACCTTACTTTTTCACCATTGAATTTCATTTTATTAGATAGTGCCCAATGTTCAAGTCTGTCAAGATCCTTCTGTATCTTAAGACCATCTGGTCCTGGTGATTTGAACTTGTCTAGGGTGGACAGGTGCTCACTTACCATTTTCTTGCCTATCTCAACTTGTGTTTCTAATCTGTTTTTTACAGTACTGTTTTTGATAGGTTGGACTGTTTTTTCCCTTTGTATAAAGACGGATGCAAAAAATGAGTTAAGTAGTTCTGCTTTCTCCCTGTTGCTTGAATTTAGTTCATTGCTGGTATTGAATCAGTTATCTCGTTACATTCAGCCTGCATGCATACCAAAACAAAGCTTTATTCATTGGCCAAATTTGGTATTAAAAGAAGAGAAATGCCATTAGATTTAGAATATATATATATGTAGCACAGTGGTTCTCAACCTTTTTAATGCCGTGACCCCCAACCGGTCGTAAGTCGAGGACTAAACCGGTTGTAAGTCGAGGACTAAACCGGTCGTAAGTCGAGGACTACCCAACCGGTCGTAAGTCGAGGACTTTCCCTGCCCGGGAGCGCCGCGCATGCGTGGTTCCACCCCCTGCACCGGCCGAGGCGTAGCTGGCAAGCAGCAGAGACGGAGCAGGCCGACCACCAGCTGGCCCAGCTCAAGGGAGGTAAGGCACCCGCCGGAAAAGGGAAAAAAAAATGGCGGACAGCCTTGCTTGGCGACCCCCGTGAAATGGTCGATCGACCCCAAATGGGGTCACGACCCATAGGTTGAGAACCACTGATGTAGCATCAGAATGTTTTTACTCACGATAGTATTGCAGCAAGTTCTACTGTTCAGCATAAAAATTATAGTGATGCAGGCATCTACAAAATCATACTAGGTTATCATGTGAAATCTCCTTATCTTGCTAATGCAGTGTTAATGCCTGATGGAATTCATGATGCTTCATTCATCAGTTATCTTTGCTCTTATCAGCCTGTCATTGGACCCATGATTATGATGATCTATTGCTGCATTGTGTTAGCACATGGTTCTATGTAAAAGTCTGAAATCGATGTTTTTCTCCAGAATAATGAACATATGGTCTTGTGGAATAGTTTCATGGACTGCAAGAGCAGCTTAAGAGTTACTTCATGCATAATTACATTATTGGAATATCTTCCAAGAACATTGATGTTGAAAGTAATTGTCAAGTCATTTATGTCTATGACTTGATATTTTTATTTCAAGACCATAAAGAAGGCAGCTCCTTATTAAGAAAAAAGCCAGGAGAAACATTTGCTGAACTAATTGTAGATAATTGCTTGCTTTTACTTACTATTGTTCCAAACCCAGTCTTCTGCACCATTGCCAAATGTCCCATATAATGAATCTTTTGTCTACATAGCAATAGCACTTAGACTTATATACCACATCACAGTGCTTTACAGCCCTCTCTAAGTGGTTTACAAAGTCAGCGTATTGCCCCCAACAATCTGGGTCCTCATTTTATCAACCTCAGAAGGAGGGAAGGCTGAGTCAACCTTGAGCCATTCAGAATCAAACTCCTGGAGTAAGCAGTGAGTTAGCCTGCAATACTGCATTCTAACCACTGCACCACCACATAAGGAGTTAATCGTAGTTTTAAGATGGTGTTAGAAAAAACAGTTCCCCAATTGGGACAGTTTGTATTGTTTTCAGGCCCCTGAAAAAATTGTGATCAATTATGATAGTGTGATTCATCAAAATATGTCACAAAAATATTTTTGACATACTGCATTACATAAGATACAAAATATTTAAGTTGATTTTTAAAATCTCAGCAAAACACAGATCCAATAAAAGAGTTTTTTAAATACTTAATTTGATCAACTTTGATCTTCCTGTTAATGGATCATTTTGTCCCTTCTATCCATGGTTGGCAGTTAAAACTCTCTGAAATATGATAGCATTTATAATTTACAAAAATTACTGGTAGTCCTCATTGCAAGGAGACCATAATATAGCAATTCCCGTTGGGAGCTTTCAGAAAAGGTGACTTTAGACTATAAGAGATACAACTGTGCTGCTTCTCATGTCTGGTGCACCTCATCCTATTTCTTCTTCACCCAGACAATAATTTCTTAATTTCGTCCATCAGAAATATTAAATTTTATGCATTCTTTTCTAGTGCCTGATCTCATGTGAAATTATAAATCATTAACCTTTAGGGCTACATTTGTGTGTGCTTTTTCCCCCAGCAATAAACCTTTTCTAGAAAGATGTCTGAGGTTATAGTGGCAAAAAGGCATTGTATTAATGTTTTAAATCAAAGTTTCACTTTAAAGTTTTTATTTTTCAATTAAACATTTGCCCATAAAATTGTATTTTAAAAGAAAAAAAGCTAATAAAACTTCAAATTAGCTTATGTTTCATTGGCTGAATCAATTGATATACTATGAAGTTGTAAAATATGAATAACATGTTGCTTGTATACAAGTAAATGTTATTGATGTTTCTTTGTAGCTTCTGATATCTACTGTATGTTACATGTTGAATCCTGACTGCTGCATTCATATTAGGGTGTGATGTGGCTCACTCTTGTCTTCTCTTCACTGAACATTGTCTGCTACTTGAAAAATATACCAATTGTCCAATCATGTTAGATTGTTACATTTGTCAGATATTGCTTGAGATGCATTCCAAAGTTCAAATGTTTTTACTATTAGTACAGTCTTGTGTAAGAATATTTCAGTTCTTAGTTGTTTTATGAGACAGGAGCAAAAGATTGTTTCTACAGATCCTTGGAAAAGTATGTTTTCTAAATGTTTCAGAATTCAGAATAATTCAATGATTAAAATCATTGTGCTTCTTTACTTAGGACCAAGGTGTGGAAATCACTGCCGAATACCTGGAAAGATTGTACATCTTCTCCCTAATGTGGAGTGTTGGGGCATTGCTGGAATTGGAAGACCGTTGGAAGTTGGAGCACTGGCTCCGTAGTCATGAAAAAATAAATCTTGATCTTCCTAATATCCCAGAAGGAAGTGAAGACACTATGTTTGACTACTATGTTACCAGTGA